ATAATTTAGCCTCCTTTTTTTATTTTCAACAGTGTTATCTCTTTGTTGTGTTCTGTTGCGTTGTGCAGACATTGTGTCTGCTGTGGTGTGTGATAGAGGAGGTCTGTGTCAGGACACAGCAGTCTGAGGCCACAAGGCCGAAAGCCGCAGCAGCTACAGAGAGGAAGAGGAAACTGAACTCGCACTGTGGGTCATTGTGTGTGCGTTTGCAGGGGATGAGGATGGTTCAGTGTTACGCCATTCCTCTGCTGGGGACAAACGTCACACTTCCTGTCTTTACTCAATACCAGCCCCACACACACATTCAGACCTACAGTACATCCAGGCTGCAGCAGCAGGACACCTCCCTCAGGGCGTGGTCCATTGTTGAAACATGTTTGTGTTCGTCACGCTGCAAATTTTGACCGTGCTGTTGTCTCCCCTCCCTTCACTGCTCGTCCATCCTTATTTAAAACCATGATAAAACAAACACATTTGCATTTTACAATAGAAGAATGGGAAAAAAACAACTAATACAATGACTGCAAGTGATATCCCCGTAGCTTGGAGTTGTTCACGTATGGCCAAGAAGCTAAAAGATGAGATTGTGAGTTTATGAAATCTCATGGTTGAAACAGAATCACATTCACATATTCAGATCAGAAGAACTGTATCATACCAGATTCATGAGTTTCCATTCATCCATTCATGTGCATTTTTATTCAACTCTACGCCCACATAGACCAGCACAGATAGATGATAGCTGCTGTACTGAACAGTTGATGGAATGCCAGACATGTAAACATGCATGCCACCACATATTTTACCAAACACATGTTCTTTTTATACTAAGGAGGATGTAAAAATGAAAAGTCACTTCTCATGATTTGTAACTCTAACTCATGATTGATTGATTACCTCTGTGATGTGCCTCAACTTGTTCAACATTTCTTAGTTCACATATAAGATGGAACCAGAAACACCAGATCACTGGTGTCTAATGCCAAAAAAAACTAAATAGGGAAAGGGAATCTTGTTTTTATTATTTCTAATTACATAAAAATCTGCAGCCTTGATAAACCGCATGTCTGCTGAGACTTGCGCAGGAAAACTTAACAGACCCATTTTTGCTTGTGTTTTAAATCAGCGGAAGGAACAGATACAATCTTGGTCTGTTTTGCTTGCACATGATCATGATCAACACCCTGCAGACATGTCATACGGGTCTGCCTTGAGAGCTTTCAAAGTTTGGATCAACACGAGAGGCAGTCACAGTTTTTACTGTTGTTAACTTCTTTTTTGTTGCTGTGGATTTGAAGCAGAAAAAAACAGTCTTTGAATTTGTCTTAATGTCTTATGTGCACAGACATTTAATTCTGGATAGATAAATGGGTAGATGGATGTATGGATGATACTTGTCCAATCACTGAGTTAGTCTTACTAACTTTTGAAGTTCAAAAAACAACCTTGGTTCAATCTTTAAAGGTTTTTAAATCACCTTTTTTTCGGAGAGGTTTTTAACAGGTTGGAGAATCTCTAAGTTGTGCTAGGAATGTGCCATATGTCAACTGAAGCTGACACTTGATGAAAAGTGACATCGACATGCACATTCATTATATTTAAAGATATGATAAAATGATGCTTCTGTTGTTGACAGGTTGATTGTTTTCTGTTTCGTGCGAGAGCCGTCTCACCATCACGCTCACATGTTTGTGAAATGACGTCAAGCTTTCATTCCTATCAGCCACACAAGAATTTAGAGGAATAAGCTATCTATTGACTGTGCTTAGTCAGTGACAGGAGCCAGCTTGGCGACAGTATTGCAGAGTAAGTTTAAGGTGATGGATTTACCCCAAAATGGATTATCATCCTAGCAAAGGGAGTAAAAAAAAAAAACCTTTCAGGATATTTTTGCTTTGCCACACTTAATAATGGAACAGATATTTGGATATACTGTATGAATATGTATTTATTTTATAACCATCACAGGGTACATAAAAGCTTAATGGTTCAGTTAAATAGATTTGTTTTCAGAATCACCATGGTGAAATGAATGTGGATATTTAAATTGATCAGGATTTTCAGTTCAATTTACAAACCCAAATTCTACCGCCGTGGATTCAGAATCCAACATTATGTGTTTAGCCTCAGTTAACGTCCATCCCATCAGCCCCAAGAGTTTCACCAGCAGCAGACTCAGAACAAGAGTTTAGGACAGCAGGGCGACTTGTGAGATGCAGGACATGATCACAAAGAATTGAATTTCTTTCACTTTGCAAGGACAAGGTGCAGCTTGTTTGCTGAATGTGCAAATCACATAGTAAGAGCCCACACACACACACACACACACACACACACACACCACACACACCACACACACCTAACCATCCATCTTCTATACCAAATGTCACCCTATATGTATAATGATGTGGGGTGCTTTCATTCCCCCCACCCAAATACCTCTGCCTGCCCCAGTCTGCAGGCAATAGAGACCCCATCACACCTCGTTCCACCACACACACACGCACAGTCACACACACTCCCATAGAGGCCTCCTCCTGAATGAAACTGCGTGATAATCAGAAAGAGTGGGTGAATCGATGGACTGCGCTCCTTGAAAGCAGTATGTGGGACGGGGGGGATGGGGAGGTGTGATGGAGGGCTGCATGAAGCTCAAATTGATGTGAGGTCGCTGAAAATGAAGATAGCGGCGCGAGACAAAAGAAAGGGCGGGTCTAGGCATGGAGAGGAGAATAGAGGGAAGGGAGGCAAATTGATTTGTCTGGGGGATGGGATGAGCCCAGAGAGAGAGAGGAGAAGGGGTGAATAAATGGGGGAAGGGTGAAGAAGAGGTGAAAAGGAAGGTGGCGGAATAAATTGGAAAAGGAACATATTCTGCTGCAGGCTATAGCACTATGAACCTCTGTAATCCCTCAAATGTGAATATAAAATCCTTAAAAGCTGCTCCAGTTTGTGTTTGCTTTGTTTCTGTTCCAAGCTCAGTGTTCATCGAGCTTCGACCCTTGTTGGACAACTTCATATAGAGTGATGAAATGTTTAAAAGGTGTACTTCTCTTATGTACTGATTCACATTACAGTCATAAAATAAATCAGAGTTCACACACTGTTTGCAATGTGCAAAAAGCCAAAACATTTTTCTATAAGCAACGACCTAATATTGACTCAAACTAAAGTATTAGTAACACAGTGTGCGTGGCTGCTGATCTCCATTGTAGCTTCAGCTCAGCTTTTGTTGACATTTGCAGTAGTATACATATAACACACATATAAAGTAGACACTTAACCCTATGATTCATAGGGCAACTTTATGGTTGATATTTATGGTTTATTGGAAGTGTTTTCACATGGAAATGGACTTTGAGGTTGATGACTAAATGGTTGGCTTTGCAAAATCTTGTTATTCCAACATCAGAAAAACAATTTACACCTTTTAAATACTTTGCATTACTTTACATTAACGTTTACCTTGCTTTTTTGCATTAGAGTTGAATATATGTAGCAGCATTAAATGGAGTTTATTATTGGTATTGTGCAGTTTCCTCTGCTGAAAAAAAAAAAAAACATCTGATCCTGTGATGTCACCACTGTGTTTACCACATCGGGTGCATATCAAGGTGATGTGGTTTTATGACGTGTGTGTGTGTGTGTGTGTGTGTGTGTGTGTGTGTGTGTGTGTGTGTGTGTGTGTGTGTGTGTGTGTGTGTGTGTGTGTGTGTGTGTTGCTTGTGTTGAGGCCTCGTCATGAGTTGCACAGTTTCTCATAGAGCCCTATATATACCCTAACCCTAATGCAGCATTGTGCAAATAGCTGCAACACCTTAACCCCACTACTGACTCTGTTTATATACTGACTTTACGCGGTCAAAGCCGGAACAGACAGGAGAAATAAAGACCCTGAGCTGGATTCACATCCACAATGTCGTGTCATTTGATCTCTTTCCCTTTCACTGAGAATTTGACCTCTTCCAGAATTGCAGTGATTGGACAGATTTCTTTGATGTCTCTCAGTGTTAAGTCTGTTTTTAGTCACTCTCTGGAGCATATGCACTTTTGTTTTGGTTGATTTGATCCAAATATTGTTAGTCCATCTCATGTTCCATCAAGTAATGGCCCTAAATTCGTTTGTATTTGTCAGTTGTCATTGAAGAAATGAACAACCTCTAAGTCTTGGTACCTTGTACAACCCTTCCTCACTTCTAATGGGCCTGTGAGCCTCTAATGCTTCCTGTTCTTTCTTATTTCCTTGTTCTGAATGTCATCGCCACTACAGATGTTCATGCTAGTTTGTTTCCGTGGGATATTTCTTTTTCTGCTCAGTGCTCGGAGGAGAGCAGATGGAGGGATTAGAGATTGATGCTTATGCAGCAAGACCTCAGACCTTGCTTGACCTAAAGGGTTCAGGTAGGGTCAGGCTGAGTGTCTCCATTCTCCAGGGAAAAATAGCTGCATATTTAAGATGGTACATATTCAGGCCTGTGCAAAAATCGGTGAATGTGGGTTTGGTATGAAATATAAATATATGAGTGATTCACATAACTGTTTATTCTCAGCTCATGTTGCAAAAGTTTGAAATCAGAGCTCGACACGTGTATCAACAGAGTGTGTGGCGTTCAGGGTAGATCAATGTGCCGATGTCTCCTCATGTCCTACAGCCACAGCAACACGTGTCTGACACCGGGGACTTCACAGCCACACATGTATGTGAGGAATGCAGACTATAACGGGTCAGATGAGATTAATATGGTTCATTCATGGTTGCATGGTCACCTTTGGGGGGGGGGGTCTGGTACCAGGCTGCAATCACATGACTACAGGACCAGAGTCAAGGTCACAAGGTGTTTGCTCTGATTTTGTATCACTAAGGGGAAAAGGATCCCTTTAATTTAGTACATTTACATAAACAGGTTTAGGTTTCATATGAAAAATGGATTTATTCAAAATGACAGCCACTGTGTTCAGTTATACTGATGGTTCCTCTGTCTCTCTACCTCTCTCCACAGCATACCTCCCTGTCGGCCAGCCGCTCAGAGAAGGGTACCGGCTGGTCGAGCCGCTCGCTTGGTGCCCGATGTCGCAACTCCATCGCCTTGTGTTCAGATGAACAGCCACACATTGGAAACTACCGGCTCCTCAAAACCATCGGCAAGGGGAACTTTGCGAAGGTCAAACTGGCACGACACATACTGACCGGCAGAGAGGTGAGTTTAAAGACACAGGAAGGAAGAGACCACAAAAAAACTGTCTATGACTGCACTGGAAGTGTCAATAAAGCCATGCATGTGGGATTGATGAGGCTGAAGGAAAAGGGTTGACGGGTTGAAGAGGACTCCTGGGTAAATACCGGGGTTAGGCAGCGAGATCACAACAGTACCCTGTGACTCAACCCACAGATGGGGTTTTAAAGGTCCCATCGAGTTCAGAGCACCTTCTGTTGGCTTTTATAACCATAGCCAAAATCTCTCTCATCTCATGGCACAGTCGAGACCTCAAACACTTTGAAGGGAGACAGTCGCGTTTTTCTTTTGTGTGGGTGTATGCATGTGTGTTGAAATACACTGTAGTCTTTCTTCTCATAAAATCCTGACCTACATTGGTTGAGCTGATAACTCCATCAGGTTCAGTAGAAACTTTGCGTGTCTGCTGCTGGCTCGGTCATGTGAGGGCTGTTTTTTTTCCACCCATATAAAGGAGAGCACATTCATATATCTGTGGTTTACAGTGATAGTTTGACGTAGTCTTTGACCGGGTCACCACATGTTGTTAAGCCTCTTATGCAAGTCTTGTTTGTTTGTTTAGTCTGCCTCTGTGTTCTTAAAGGTTGTGATAATACTGTGTTGTGTACTTTTTTCACACTTTAGGGTGGTTTAATTAGCAAGATTAATCTTATTCAACATTGAACAATGGATAATGTTAATGCTAAAACTGGTTTATCTGGTCTAAAAACTGGACTAAACCCACCAAACTCTGTATGATTCCAACTTCTCAGTTGTGAAGATTTGCTGCTGTTCTTTGTCTTTAATTTATAGTAAATTGAATATATGTTGGTTGGACACTTTGGGCTGCAGGAATCTTATAAACTAAATGATTATTCTGGAAAATAAGATTAATTGACAATGAAAATATTGGCTAGTTGCTTTAACATCTGATATTTTGTTTTAAGTGTGGACTTAATATGTGTTCTTTATTAGATTGTTTTTATTCATTTATTTTTCTATTTTCTCCTCCCAGGTTGCAATAAAGATCATCGATAAAACCCAACTCAACCCAACAAGCCTGCAGAAGGTGAGTGAAATGTTACTGTGTGTGTGTGTGTGTGTGTGTGAGAGAGAGAGAGAGTGTGTGTGAGAGTGGGTGTGAGAGAGAGTGTGTGTGTGTGTGTGTGTGTGTGTGTGTGTGTGTGTGTGTGTGTGTGTGTGTGTGTGTGTGTGTGTGTGAGTGTGTGTGTGTGTGTGTGTAGACTTTTGTGCGTCACAGGAAAAGAATGATTGTAGAAGAATAAAGATGGAAAACAAAGACAGGTGATAGGGTGACTTTTTTTGGCTGAGTGCATTTTCAGCTTACATCAAACTTATATTCTATTCAAACTCTTATTTCAGCAGACATTCGGTCACATGATTTTTCAAGTTTTTCAAGTTTTCCTCTGCCACCTTATCTACTTAACCTCTGTAACTTCTAACTCTAACTGCATGATCTATTAATGATATTATGACCCTGTTCTCTTATTCTAGGGATTTCACAGTCGGTCAGTCTGATGTCTTTTAGTTTATCTGCATGTGTGTTGCAGCAGGAGAAGTCATTGAGCACTGTAGCATCTTCACATGTTGTTTTTGCCTCAGGATATAACTTGCAGATGACCTGTGTTTACAGCAGTTGTTTGAACTTTGACCCTTTTTGATTGTAATACTACTGCTACTGGCTATAGGTTAAGAGCTGAAACAAACTACATCAGTTCATGGAGGATGTGTGAAATATTGAGACAACAGAGACGTTTGTGCACAAGCTTTTATTAACGCAGCATAGTTTCATAGAGACATATAGAGTTCTGCTTTGAGTCAGTAAGACATTCCCATCATTCGTCCACTGGAACTAACTAGGTTAAAGGCTTGGAGTGATGTACGTCACTGTATGCTTGTCTAGTGACATCTAGGGTCATGTATTAACTACATGTGTTGCATTCATGGCCCTAATGAGATTAAGTTCTCTGCTGTCTGAACTTGGCCCGCTGCGGTGGTGGTGGTGGTGGTGGTGATGTGTGTGTGTGTGTGTGTGTGTGTGTGTGTGAGATGCATGTGTTAATTGAGACTGATCTAATGACACAGAATTGAGTGAGAAACATAGCCTCAGGCCTGGATACTGTTTTTAAGCAGATAATGCTGCAATGTTTTCTCATCCAGCTTTGTTGGTGGAATATTCATCTCTGGAAATAAAGCAGTATTTCAGTATTAGTGGCGGTGCTGTTTGTAATTAATGCTTCATAAGGTGTAATATTTATTTTCCTATTTTCTGCATATGTTTTCTTTTTCTTTGCTTCTTGTGGAAAACCCTGTAACTGTATATTGCTTTTATTAGTTTTTTATGATGTCAGTGCAGCTCTGATAGTTGTACATAAAAAAGCTAATCTTGCATCATTCATTTTAGGGTTGCAGTTAACTTTACTTCTCCTTATTGCTATTATTTTTCTAATTAATAGATAATTGTTTTGTCTATAACAAATCATAAAAGATTCCCTCTTTTTCTTCAAATATCTTGTTTTGTCCAACCAACAGTCCAAAGCAATGATAAAACAAAGAAAAGGAGAAAATACTTGCATGTTACGAAGAAAGTACCTGTGAATATTTAGGTATTATATTTTCGTTTTTGCTTGAGAACTGACTCAAACGATGAATTAATCGTTAATCAAAGTAGTTCCAGAGTGTGTGCTATTTTTCCCCACTTTTGAACCAGATCTCTGTTGGTTTCGCTCTGTGTCATTTAGTTTTAACCTTGTCTGTAGTTTGTATGATAAAGTCTGTTCTCACAGTTCATACAAGTCGCTCTTTGTTCGACAGGGGCTCTGCTGACCAAACTATGGCCTTGTGTGGTTATAAGTTTCTCGCGTCATCGAGATCAATACTGCATCACACACACGCACACAGCTACCCTATCGATGTATACTCAGCGTGTTAGCTAACTAGTCAGGGCTGTGTTGGGACTGTATTGATAACACAGCGTTGGGTTATTGATGGTGTCTGGCTTTATGCAAAAGTTGGTCTACCTGGCCTAAATACTGGCCAGAGCAGCAGATTTATCACTCTGCTGCCCCGACTGTGAACGCCAACAAGAAATTAAAACAAAAGACTCCCATTTTAATTAGCTTTTGGTTTTAATTTTCATCATTCACCATTCTTTAGTCAGAGGACTGGGAGTCCCTTTTAAAAGAAACTATAGTTGTGTCTCTGCAGGTTACACAGTTTGAAGAGTATTAACATATCTGTTACATAGCTACCTCTTTTAAAAGGCTCTGCTCTGTTTTATTTCTTGTCCCGACATTCTGTTTATATAAATAACATCAGATAACAGCATGAATATGATGGTTTTTTGGGCTCATTTAAAGCAAGCTGATACAGATGGAGGTTTTTTTCACAACCAGACATTCCCATTCGCTTCCTGACTGAGGCAAACAAAACAGTCTGTTTACAATTCCTAAAAGGTTCTTAAGTATAAACCTATCAATGGTCTACAGTAGCTGCATATTAAACTTCTAACATCTGCCCAACAACAGCCCTTGAATTGTCTGTAGCTCTTGTGTGTAAAATAAAATCGTATCCAATAGTGGCTGTAAAATCTAAACCTTTTTTTACAACAGCAGTTCTATTGTACACATTTCAACCCAGTTTGGATTCTGGTCAGGAAATAGATACTGACTGCTGCTATGCAACATTGCACATATGACAAAGAGTGGAAGTGTTCATGGCCAAAAGGCTGCACATTAGTTTGGATTCTGCCAACAGCTAAGGTTGACTTTTTTTTAGTGACTTATTCATCTGTTATAAAGTACAGCCATCATGTCACTAAACCCATTTTTCTGTTATATTCTACAAAAAAACGCACTTCACAGCACAGTTAACGTTCTGTCAGTGTTATCACCACCTGATAAACTATTGACTCTTTTTTTTTAACAGAGGTGAAGCTGGGGTGATGGATGTTTGTGTGCTGTGTGCTGTGTGCTGTGTGTGTGTGTGTGTGTGTGTGTGTGTGTGTGTGTGTGTGTGTGTGTGTGTGTGTGTGTGCGTGCTTCTCTCATGAGAATACAGACCTTGTGGTATACAGCAGTCGTGAGATTCACCCTTTTTTTTTTCTCAGAACATCGTTTGCCTTCTGTTCGAACAGTGAGATGCCTATTTAATTACACCATGAATCTGCTCTTCAGATCTTTAAGCAAAGACCTTGGTTTAACGAGGCTGGTACAGTGCTGTGTGTTTGTGTGTGTGTTTGTGTGTGTGTGTGTGTGTGTGTGTGTGTGTGTGTGTGTGTGTGTGTGTGTGTGTGTGCACGCTCTGTGTGTGGACGCTCTGTGTGTGTGTGTGTGTGTGTGTGTGTGTGTGTGTGTGTGTGTGTGTGTGTGTGTGTGTGTGTGTGTGTGTGTGTGTGTGTGTGTCCTGCAGCATTGTGGTAGTAGTCTAGTACTGCATAGCGCAGCGCTGGGACTGCCAGTTGCGTCCTGTCCTGTCAGCATTTTTGTAGTTAGTGTAGGACACTATGCATGCTGCCAGGTGACACTGTCTCTGTCGCTCTCTGTCTGTCTGTCAGTCCGTCATTTAACCTCTGCCTGTCTCTCTTCCCTGCCCAAATTCATCCTCAATTTATCGTTTGGTCTATAAATTGTTAGAAAACAGTCTAGCCTGTCTGCCTGTTTATATGAGGAGTTAATGTTCTTGTACATCATTTAAGAGGCGCAACTTATAATTATTTTCATTATTTGTTTTGATTAGTTGATTAATTGCTGATATACGTCAGAGAAAAGCTGCAAATCCTCCTATTTTGGTAACTGGAAAAGTTCATGTAATATCAATTTATTGATTATCAGAATTGTTGCCAGTTAATTCTCTATAATTAATTGTCATTTCAGCACTACTACAATCCATTTTACCTCTCACACTATAGTATATTTTATATATATATACATATGGTTATGTGGTATATAAAATCTAAAATCTAATACTTAAAACCATTTTATGAAGGTGTAATGTAATAAGTTGAAACTGAAATGTATTTGCTGATTAAATAACTGGCTTTAAACATGTGAGGCTAGACATTTTGAAATACTTTATAGAGGTATGTCAGGAAATGTCCAAACTGCTTAATTGTCTCCACGGCCCACTGTAGTGTTATGACCATTAGCTGATGTGTCCTTATTTTTGTCTTTGGATAAAAACATGCAGCTTCAGCTGACACTGGAATGTATTTGTCCAACATTGATCAGACTTTTGTATTTCATGGAAGCTTGATTTATTTGCTTCAGTGTACCTAATGGAAATGCACATCATTTGCATTTTAATTTTCACAACATTGATATTCTAAAGATGTAGTATTCACAGTTGGGTTGAAATAGAAACACCCAGTAATTTCTGTAAATTCTTTCTTTCTCTTCACACTCTGTTACGCCTCAATCTATATTCTGTCAACTTTGTCGCTCCATTTCTCTCTCTCTTCTCCCCTCTCCCCCCCCTTTTCATTTTCTCTTCAACTCTTTATTTTATTCTCTTTATTGTAGCCCTGTGTCCCACTTCTCTCTCCTTTCTCCCCAGGCGTTGTGTTGCAGTAGTAGCTCTACTGTAATTGCAGCTGTACTCTGCTCTCTGTAGCACTACACTATGTCTCCTAAAACTATTTCAGGGATGTTACAACTGTGACGCTTTAGTCTTTTGAAAAATTCGGACTTTAAAGTGTGCAAATTCCCAGCTACAGCCAAGTAAGGGAAATGGGTCATCTTTCAGGACACAGTGTGGTTGTTTGATGTGTCTGGCATTGAAAATGGGTGTAAACCATGCACGTGCAGATGTCCTTGTGTATAACTTTTATTTAATCAGGCAATCTATTGTTGACGTACAAGATACAATCACACGATTGATGCAGGTACACATTGAGTCATCATCAAAGGTTTCATCGAAATCAAACACAAACTGCATAATAACATTGTTCTATTAAAGTGTCGTAAAAACAAATATTGTCATCTATTGTCGCACATACCAACTAAAGAGCGTTTGGTAGAGGGCAAATCTCTGCCAGTGCTGTGCAGCTCT